TCCTGTCCTGCGTCTGCACTCTGACAGAGGTGGTGAGTTCTCCTCCGACCTCTTGCGGGACTTTTTTCGTGGGGAGGGCATTCGCCAGTCGTTCACGCTTTCGGACTCCCCTCAGCAAAATGGGATTGCTGAATGCCGCATTGGCTTAGTCATGGAGGTGGCTCGTACCTCCATGATCCATGCGGCTGCTCCCCATTTTCTGTGGCCGTTTGCGGTCCGGTACGCTGCACATCAGCTCAACCTTTGGCCCCGTGTCTCCTTGCCGGAGACCTCGCCCACACTGCGTTGGACGGGGAAGGTTGGCGATGCGTCGGTGTTCCAGGTCTGGGGTTCTCGTGCCTTTGTTCGCGATACATCCGCGGACAAGCTCTCCGCCCGCGCCATTTCCTGCGTCTTCCTTGGCTTTGTCCCTGACGCGCCTGGCTGGCAGTTTTACCACCCCACCTCGCGCCGTGTCCTCCCTTCTCAGGACGTCACGTTCGATGAGTCGGTTCCCTTTTACCGTCTCTTCCCCTACCGCTCTGCCCCTTCCCCGCCCCCGCCGCTCTTCCTTGCTCCCGGTCCACCTCCGGTAGACCCCCTCCCGCCCAAGGGTCCTGCTCCCTCGGGAGTGTCTCAGGTAGACCCTCTCCCTGGTACTGCGCCTGTTCAGGTAGTTGTCGTCTCAGGTGCTGCTCCAGGTGCTGCGTCTGGGGGTGCTGCGTCTGGGGGTGCGGAGCCGGGGGGTGCGGGGTCTGAGGGTGCTGGGTCGGGGGGTGCTGAGCCTGAGGGTGTTGAGCCTGGGGGTGCTGAGTCGGAGGGTGCGGAGCCTGGGGGTGCTGAGTCGGAGGGTGCGGAGTCTGGGGGTGCTGAGCCTAGGGGTGCAGCTTCGTCTGGAGGTCCTGCTGGTGCTTCACCGTGACTGTCCTCGCAGCAGCTGCGTGAGTGGATTGTTCAGCATGCACACCGTCGGAGTGGAGCTCCTGGGGCTGGCGAGCCTGGAGACGCTGGAGCTGGAGGTGCTGCTGTTACTACTGGAGCTGGAGACCCTACGGAGCCTGGAGCAGCTGGCACCGGAGGCGCTGGAGCTGGTGTACCTGGAGTTGGAGGCCCTTGTGCAGGAGGCGCTGGAGCTGCAGGAGCTGGAGCTGTTGACCCTGGAGCTGGAGGTGCTCGAGGCACTGTGCGGCCGCGACCGTACTTCGTTCCCCTGCTTCAGCAGGTTCTTGGTGTCCCATCTTCTACTGGTCTTCCTCCTCCCTTCCTATGTCCACCGCCTGACCAGTCGCAGCCGCCGTTACAGCCAGCCTCCCCACTGCCTGTTCCCTCTCCTTACACTGAGCACTCTGGAGGTCTTACAGAGCGTCGTGAGCCTGCGTCTCGTCCTGTCTCGCCTGTTCGCACTGCTCGTCGCGCTCCTCGTTCGCGTCCTCCTCCTGTCCCAGGCACGCACACCATGGCACCCCGTCCTTCCTCTGTTCCACTGCGTGTTCCTCTGCCTACTCCTCCTAAGTCCTCTCTTCCTGAGGTCCCTGACCCTGAGTCTGACTGAGCGCGTGCTGCCAGTCCCACTGTCGCTCGTCTTGCCACTGCTGTCACTGACCCGTCCTTTGAGTCTGCTGCTGCTTCTGCTCTCGTTGCTGAGCTGCTTGACTTTGCTGCTGCCTGTCGTCTCGACTACGCCTCTGCTCTAGTCACTGAGTCTGTGCCTGCCGGTCCTCCTTCCGTCGGGGGTGAGTGTGCTCTTAGCATGGACGTCCTTGAGGACAGGCAGGAGGACTTTGAGTGTCTTGCAGCTGCTGTACCTCGTTTCGCTTCCTTGCTGCTTGCCCCTGAGGGAGACCCGGATGCTCCAGACATCCCGACCCCGCGCTCTTACGCAGAGGCGATTATGGGTCCTTACTCCTCTCAGTGGCAGGCAGCTATGGATGCCGAGATGGCATCCTGGAAGTCCACAGGCACTTACGTTGACGAGGTTCCCCCACCTGGGGTGAACATAGTCGATGGCATGTGGATCTTCATGGTGAAGCGGCCGCCGGGTTCTCCGCCTGCCTTCAAGGCACGCTACGTTGCTCGAGGTTTCAGTCAGCGACAGGGAGTTGACTACTTCCAGACCTTCTCCCCCACCCCGAAGATGACTACTCTTTGGGTGTTGATGCACGTAGCTGCTCAGCGTGACTATGAGTTACACTCCCTGGACTTCAGTACAGCCTTCCTGCAGGGCAGCCTGCACGAGGAGATCTGGCTGCGTCGACCACCTGGTTTCACTGGGTCATTTCCTGCAGGTACCCAGTGGAGCCTCCGCCGGCCAGTCTACGGTCTCCGCCAGGCGCCTCGCGAGTGGCATGACACACTCAGGACGACACTTGCGGCTCTTGGGTTTGTTCCTTCTACAGCAGACCCGTCGCTGTTTCTACGCACCGACACCTCGCTGCCGCCCTTCTACGTCCTAGTGTACGTCGACGACCTTGTCTTTGCCACGGCTGACACTGAGGCACTAACCCTTGTGAAGTCCGAGCTGCAGAAGAGACATACCTGCACTGACCTGGGTGAACTGTGCAGCTATCTTGGCCTGCAGATCACCCGGGACAGAGCACGGCGCACCATCACACTGACTCAGTCACACATGGTGCACCAGGTCCTTCAGCGCTTCGGCTTCCAGTACTCCTCGCCACAGCTCACTCCTCTGTTTACCAGCCACTCGCTCTCAGCTCCACCTTTGGACGAGTCCGTAGAGCCGAGTGGTCCGTACCCAGAGCTTGTGGGTTGCCTCATGTACCTGATGACTTGCACACGACCTGACCTTGCGTACCCTCTCAGCCTTCTGGCTCGCTACGTGGCTCCCGGTAGGCACCGAAAGGTGCACTCGGATGCTGCGAAGAGGGTACTGCGTTACCTGTGCAGTACGTCGGGCATGGGGCTTGTGCTTGGAGGACGGGGTCCGGTTGTCCTCACTGGTCACGCAGACGCTTCCTTGGTTGACGACTCAGCTACGCAGCGGTCGTCGTAGGGTTACACCTTCAGCCTTGGGTCCGGCTCGGTTTCTTAGCGTTCTACCCGCTCGTCCTCAGTTCTCAGCTCCAGCTGTGAGGCTGAGATCTACGCCGGAGCCATGGCTGCTCAGGAGCTACGCTGGCTCACCTACTTGCTGACCGACTTGGGAGAGCCGCCTCGTTCGCCTCCAGTCCTGTACGTAGACAACAAGGCCATGATAGCCTTGTGTCAAGAGCACAGACTGGAGCACGGAACGAAGCACATCGCTCTGCGATACTTCCTTGCTCGAGAGTTGCAGCAGCGTGGTCAGCTTCGTCTAGCGTACGTGGCCACTCGGGCCAACACTGCTGATGTCTTCACCAAGGCACTTCCGCCTGGTGACCATCAGCGCTTTGTTACTGTATTAGGCCTTGTGCCTACTTTGCCTCACTTACTGCCAGACTCTGCCTGTACTGTGATCTATCTATATACCTGCATGCTTGCACTTGCTAGGGTATGATCACTGTATTATTTGTTCTCTTTATATAACTCTGCATGTGAACTGGCCTTGTGGCCCTTTGCTTGTGCTCGGACTGTGTGGTGACTTTGTGATCCACCCTGAGCTTTGCTTTGCTTTGCTTCTTCTCTTGACTGGTCTTGTGACCATTGCTTGTTCTGGCTATCCCCCACTTCGCCTATGGGGGTGTGTCAAACATATGTGTTTATGTGTTTACAGTTGTCTAGGCTATAGAGGGTTTAGCCTTAGGGGGTACACAATTTCTCTCGACATTGTACTTGTACCCCTCCTTCCTTCCTAGTAAACCATTTTCTCGCTACTATCTAACACGCGCGTCGTCTTCGGAAACGACAAGTCACTACCAGTGGTCGGAATTGGGAGTACGCGTCTCATCGTCGATGGCGGACCGGTGGACATCACGAGTATGCTTCACGTCCCGGGGTTGAAGGTGAATCTCCTCTCCATCACTCAACTCGCGAAGAAGGGTGTGAAGATCACCATCGACGATGCGAAGATGAACCTCTTTTGGAAGGGGGAGCAATTCACGCAAGGTGTTCTCAAAGGAGAACTCTACCAACTCAAGACGCACCCGAGAGTGGCTTCATCCAACGTAGCGCACGGCTCCAAGGCGACTCTCAAGGTATGGCATAATCGGCTTGCGCACGCCAACTACGACTCGGTCAAGGAGTTGGCCAACAAAGGACTTGCGAAGGGATTCGACGTGGCCGTCGGCGACGAGGAGAAGGGCGTGTGCGCGGTGTGTGTTGAAGGAAAAATGGCTCGCAAGCCATTTGGTAGCCGTACCTCACCCCTCGCTAAGGACCTGCTTGCGCTTGTTCACATGGACGTGTGTGGACCGATGCGGCATGCATCAAAGGGAGGAGCGCGGTTCCTCTTGGTGATGCTTGACGACGCGACGCGGATGTGTTGGACCCGGCTCTTGAAGGTTAAGGGAGATGTGACCAAGGCGATTCAAGAGTGGGCGCTTGAAGTTTGCGACGACGACAAGAAGCGGATCAAGGCTATTCGCACCAACGGTGGCGGTGAATTCGTAAACGCGGAGCTTGAGAAATGGATGAAGAGCAAGGGCATTAAGCACGAAGTCACAACACCCTACACACCCCAACAAAATGGAGCGGCGGAGCGGCTTAATCGCACGTTGGTGGAAGCCATTCGTTCACTTCTTCAACACTCCAAGCTTGGGAGCGAGTTGTGGGGTGAGGCGAGTTCGTTAGCGCCGTGGATTTGCAACCATTTGCCGACAAAGGTGCTCCCAAGAATGACTCCGTTCGAAGCATGGACCGGCACGAAGCCGAACCTATCCCGCCTACGCACCTTTGGGTGCCTTTGCTACTACCATGTACTGGATCCCCTTCGCCACAAGTTGCAACCGAAAGCTCGTGCGACAATCTACTTGGGAATTGCGGCGAACGAGCGCGCGTGGCGAGTGTGGGACTCGGGTGAAAGGCGCGTCGTCACGTCTCGGGACGTGGTCTTCGACGAAGACAAGTTCCCGACGAAGGAACAACCAATGCCGCAACTCACCGTCGTTCTTCCCGCACGAGAGGAGGATGAAGCGATGGAGGTTCCATCACAAGTGGAAAAGGAAGCTGAAAATGGAGGGGGCGAGAACGAGGAGAGCAACGACGACGTCGTGGAGGTGCCACCAACCGCGGCGGCAACTTCCTCCATACCTTCCTCCCTACCAATGGTGTTGACCCGCGAGCGACGTACACTTCACCCCAACACGAAGTACACCGACTACGCTACGGTAGCCGTTGGGGAGTTGGACGAGGAGCGTGCGGCATTTTGCTTCACGACCAAGGGTGATGATGAATACGCGGATTCTCTCATGGAACCACCCCCTAAAGATCCATCCCGTGCATGCTACGGGCATGTTGGATTGAACACCTAGTGGTTTGGGTGCAAGGGGGAGTGTTGGAGGTTGCGTGAGGCAACTTTGCCCCCAACCACCGAAAGGTGTTGGCTTGGTGCTCACTTTCGAGTGAGCTGCAGGTTGGCGTGGGGTTGAAGGATTGACTTTGGAAGACCCATCAATTCGGTGCCACATCATAACACCAAAAACATTCGAGACTCAAGGAGAATTCGGTTTGGTGAAATTCGAGTGTCGAATTTCACCCCTTCGGAATGTTACTCGAACTTTCGAGAGTGTAGCGGTTCGAGGTTTCTTGTGCGACTCGATGTTTGTTGCATGCTATAAATCTGTTTGCTTTGTATTGCATGAATCATACTGAAATCGAGAATCACTTCGTACGTGATTCATTCGACTACAAAATCCAGAGAGCTCCTCTCCTTGATTCCAAGAGCACTACCTAGCACATAAACGCCTATATCTCGCTCGATACTTAGGCGATCGAGGTGATCTATGGCTCGTTGGAAAGCTTTCAGATTGCCCTATTGTTTAGTTCAAATCCCAGTTCCTTCCAACTAGAGGAGAGTCCTCTACAACAGTCGGAGCCAGGCCTGGCGAGGCGGGCAACTGACGCGCGTGCGGGCCCGCCAGCGTGGCCCAGGGCGGGGCTGAGCGCACGACCGCCGCCCCGCAACCCCCCTGCATGATTGAACAGCGCCCCACGTTACCGGGTGGGGGCGGCGAGCTGGCGAGCCCTCGCGCGAGGGAAAGTAACCCTCGCGCGAAGGCAGCCCTCCCGTGCCTGCTGCCCGCGACGTCCTAGTGACCCTCGCGACCTGCCCGGATGGGCAGGCGAGGGCCATGCGAAATTCGGGTGCTCCCCTCGGGACGCTCGACAATTTCGCGACCTGTTGCGGTGACGCCATGTGTTCGCACGCGGGTTCGCATCGGGTGCATGCGAAATTTCGAGCTCTACGAAATTGGATTGCTCGCATCGCGGCGCAGGGTTTTCGCGAACCGTTGCGAAGTCGACACGTGTTGGCTGAAACGTCGCACCGCGCGCATGCGAAATTGCGTCCCCTCACCGAGCGAAGCCAGGGGACGCGAAGTCGACGTGCTGGCTCGGCGGCGAAGAAGCACTTGTGTCACTTGTGCATGCAGCCCGCCAAACCCTATCGAGCCAGGCACCACGAACCCTGGGCGATGCCTCAACCGGCCTGTGGGGCACCGACTCCCTTTTCTTGGTGGAAGGAGGCATCGCTCCTCATTTTCGGCATCTCGTTTCTCTTTCAACATTACTCCCACATTCTCGTCCCTTAGCCTGTAGTCACTTCCCTTCCCCGCCATTGAGGCCGACCCGAAAGCCGGCGAAGCGGCGCCGACTTCGCAGGACTTCCCTCTGTATCTTGACCTCGGTAGTGGACTCACTGCCAAGCTCGAGGAACACGACTACGCCGTCCTCGTAGACCATAGGCTAGAGTTCAATGCCCGTTGCTTGGGATTCGGCCTCAAGTGAGTCTCCGTATGGGGATGTCAGCGTCGACCTCTACATACCTTGCTGGTCGACGTAGCGTCGGTGTTAGGGTTGTCCCACGTCTAGGGTGGCGCTACGAGTTTAGGGTTTAGTTCAGTTCACGTCGACGCCGACTTTAGGATTCAGGGTTATCTACAGTAGGTCGGTGTCGGCACATGGTTTAGGCCCGCATTGGTCGGCTCCATTGATTACAACATCGCGAGGGTGGTGCACCGTCGTACTATTACCATCCCCGTCAGTTGGCGGTTCCTACACCAACGTATCCACCGTCGTGTCGTACACCTCCTCACTCACTTCTAATACCCATTGCATGCGTGCAGGCACGGATGGACTCGCGCGGCGCCGGCCAACATGCGATTGTGGTCGATAGGACTCGGCCGGCTTCGGGCAGCGATGGGTCAGGCGGACCACACATGCTTTGCGACGGTTTTCGGCGCCGACATAGCGGTTATCCCCCTGACTTAGAGGTGAGCTGGTTCGAAGTTGTCATGATGTGTGTTGCATCCTATGATGATGCTCTGTTCTGAACGACGTAGTCGTGCCTTGCCTGTGCAGCATCGCACCACTTCCAGGAGCACATTGCAGCATCGTTGTCATCATGTACCCCGACGACTTGTTGAAGGCCGGGGGGGAGAAGATCAGGACCTCGATCCGGCACGTTGATCCGCAGACCGTGAAGCAGTGGCATCGCGACGAGGAGATCCGCGTGCTAAAGTGAGCTCGATAGTGTAGTCGACGACGCATGCAATTTCGCCGCGCAGCGTTAACCATGCTCACAGACAATCTGTGCCATCTTGCTTCAGGTTTTTCCGGGCGGCGGTACTGGCCGAGCTTGGGCGTGATGGTAGGAAGTGGGAGTGGGCGAAGCCTTCTGATGAAGAGGTGGAGGACAGGCTCGCCGACTGCGATCAACCCGTTCGAGATGTGAGTTCCGAACGATTTACCGTCCTATAGTGTGTCATCCTTGCGCGATGCGATTGCCGAACGCGGTGCTCATCCTTGCGCTCTGAACTGTTGTATGCAGAAAGTGCCCGACGCCGTCCGGGACGAGGACGCGGGCTCCGGCCTGCTAGCAATGAGCGCGTTGTGCTGGGTGGTGAGGAGGATGGATCTCCTGACCAGCGCCCTCCGTTGCAGTGTGACCAGCATGGACAAGGTCAACGTTTCGGGGTTGAAGGGGCTGCTGAATGGGATGATAACATTCGTCAAGGAGCACGTCGCTCTCAAACGGTCGGGCCATGTCGGAGTTGCTGCCGACGCTTGTGACGACGACGACAAGGAGGCCCCTTCGGCATCCCAAGCAGTAGGTGTCGCCCACACCGTCGATGATGCGCGTGGGACTTTGATCGGAGAGCCTGGAGGTGGCATCAACAAGGAAGATGAGGAGGCAGGAAGGGCGGTGACTGGGACCGCAGAGAAGCACCAGGACGAGGACGTCCATCAGGATGATAACGAGGATCAGGAAGAGGACCATGACAATCGTGAGGAGGAGGAGGAGGAGGAGGAGGAGGAGGAGGAGGAGGAGGAGGAGGAGGAGGAGGAGGAGGAGGGGGGCTCGGCGGAAGAGGAGGAGGACGAGGAGGAGATGGAGGTGGAGGAGGAGGAGGAGGAGGAGGAGGAGGAGGAGGAGGAGGAGGAGGAGGAGGAGGAGGAGGAGGAGGAGGAGGAGGAGGTGGTGGAGGAGGCAGAGAAGCAGTAAGAGGGGAAGCAGGAGGAAGAGGTCAAGTGGGAGTTGGAGGAAATTGAGGTGTAGTACTTAGAGGGAGCGGCGGAAACGGGTGGGAGGTCGGCGGATGTTGTGAACGAGGGAGGGGAGGACGCCGACGAGGAGAGAGTCGGCGTGGAGGCGGCTCGCGGGGGGAGTGAAAAGGTCATGGTCGGCGATGTGGTTGGCGACGCGAAGGAAGTTGTCGACCTCGAGGCCGTTGGAGAAGGGGATAACCCCGCGGCCGCGAAGCAAACGGGCGTGGACGGGCCTACCGAGACCACCGCAGGGAAGGCCGGGGGGAGCGGTCTAGGAAGAAGAAGGCGGTGCGCGGTCATCCCGGTTCCTCCGCATCTGGTCGGCAGGCACCGTTGGACGTCGTCGAGCAGCTGCGACAGGAGAACAGGCGGTTGACGGCAGAAAATGCCCGGAGAAGGCGCACGGAGAGGAAAGGGGTCGGGTGGACAGGTTTGCATTGGGGATACGTGGAATCCTCGACAAGCTCCAGTCGTTGGCCGACAAGGTCTCCGTCTCCGACCATAATGCGCCGAAACGGCTGCTAGATGCAACGTCGGCCGTGTTGACAACCATCGCGGACAACATCACCAGCTACATGGACAAATCGTGGAAGGCGATGAAGTCCTTCGCGGAACAGGCGTCGACGTGGTTGGCGGAAATCGACGGTCCAGAGGGAAGTATGGTAGTTGAACGCGCAAAAGCGGTCACCGCCTTGGCCAACCACGTGGAAGTGGTGGTGGACGATGCGAAGCTGGGTTTGGAGGACTACATCTCTAAGCACCTAGCCGCCGCGCAGACCAACATTGCCGCCAGCGGTAACTCGCACCATCGCCGTGCCGCTGCCGCCGCCGCAGCCCACGCCAGCCTTCCCGGACGAGCTCATGAAGTCGTTCAAGGCGGACGTGTTGAAGGTGGTGACGGAGGCCACCCACCAGTCGTTTGTTGCGTCCGGGTTAAAGCTCATAACCGAGGTAATCGGCAATGTGGCGCCTGGTCGGCGTGGGTCGTCGCCGTCGGCCAATGACGCCGACCCCGCGCAACGAAGGGAGGCCGACAAGCAGGGCCAGAAAAGGGCGGGCGGCGGAGATGATGCGGGGAGCATGAAGCAGAGCAAGGGAGCCGATGGGAGCCGCGGTGTCGGCGCGGTGGGTCCAGGCGGCTCGCGGACTCGAGGTGAGAGCGTGGTCGACCAGCTCAAGAAGAACGGGGCCAAGGTGATAAGGTCGCACAGCAAGGGTGATGGAATCGGGAGTGCAGATGGGGGCCATGCCGACGAGGTTGCCGCGCAAGACGCTGGACCATCAGCCTCGCCCCTGGTTGCTGAGAAGCCCCATGGTCTGGCGAGCGGCGGGAAAGGCTTGAGCGACAAGGAGATCCCAACCACTCAAACGGCGATAGATGGCGGCGCCAGAACCGTCAAGGGACCGTCTGTCAGGGTGGCGGGGACCACGTCGATTCCCCGTAAACCCCCTGTGGCTAGCAGCACGCCGGTCAGCCCGTCAGCCGCCAACAACAATGGGCCGGCCCTTGCCGCTACTCCAGCTCCAGCAGGCCCGTCTGCCGCCAAGGGCGACACGAAGGATGCTGCGGCTAACTGTCAAAGTGCCCGCAGCGGCGAACGCGCTCAGGGAAATGCTTCACCGCATGGAGGCCCATCGCAAGGACGTGCAGTAGCCTCCCTTGGTCGATGCCGCCCCCCGCCGAAACAGCACGTCGCTCTGTCACTCCGCAGGTCGCCGCCACAACGCCCAGTGCCCCACCTACCGCGCCTCTGGTCGCCGCCCGTCTCCTGCGGACCCAAAGTCCGCATTGCTTCGCGCCCGGTTAGGCGCACGTAGTGCGCCGGCGCCAACACGGACTCAGCCGGAAGCAGGCTCAAGCGCGACGCCGACGTCGGTAAACGAGGCGGCGGAGAAGGGCGTGAGGGCAGCGCTAGCCACCAGGCGGCGGGGCCGTTGATCTTGCACGGGGCGTCGAAAGGCCACAACGACACCGACATAGCTGCCATCCAGAACCTGTTGGAAAGCGGTAAACGCCCCAGGCACCGCCCCTGCTTTGGCCATCTTGGACACGACGCATGTGGAGCCCTCGGCGAGTCCCCCCGGTGGTTCAGCGGAGCCAAAGACAACCACTGATGCTGTCGGCGAGGGAGAGTCGAAACGGAAGGGGAAGGCCAACACATGGAAAAGGGAGGGCGAGCTCTCAGAGGAAAAACACGGGCGATGACGGCCGAGAACAGGGAGGGAGAAGGCAAAGGAGAATTCGTGGAGAAAAGGAAGAGAAGGCGGAGGAGAATCAGGAGGAGAAGTTCGGTTGGCGAGGGTACGTCGGTGAAGAAAGGGAAGGAGAAGGCGGCGGAGAAGGAGAAGGAGAAGGAGAAGGCGGGTGGAGAAGGAGAAGGA